GCCCCCCCGGCCCCCGCCACCCCCCGCCAGCCACCCTTTGGGGCCGTGGGGCCACGGGTGGGCGAGCAGAAGGAGCCATGGGGGCCGGGGGCTGCGATCCCACTGCAGGGGGGTAACGGCTACCCCCTGGGGCTGCCCCCCTGCCTCTACCGGACACCCGGCATGTTCTTCTTCGAGTGAGGGACTCCCCACCCTGGTACACGCCAGCACCCAATAAAGCACATTCCCCAATGCTGCCTCTGTGGTCTCTGTGCCCCGCTCGAGGTGGGCAGTGGGCAGGGGCAAGCTGGGGACCCTCTGCCTCAGCCCAGGCGCTGGCTGGGGGACACACATCCCCAAGGCCACCCAGCACACCCCCCATCCCCGCTGGCCCCTCCACTGGCTGAACAGTGAGGCCATGGGGACACAGGGCATGGCCTGGTCAGGGCACCTACATCCAGGCTGTGTGTCTCTGGGAGACACTGGGGAAAAGATCCTGAAACAATCTGGGGCCAGGAGCCTCTGAAGCCCCATCCCCTGGTAGCATAAAGGATCCTTCTCCCTGGGGGTGAGGGGGATCTGCTGCAACAGAAGTTATTCCCCAATGGAGCCTCGTTGTCACGTCCCTGTGCCTGGGACCCTTCCAGGTGGCTGGCTTCACCCCGGGTGCAACATATGGTACAAGTGGCACCAGCCTCACTGTGAGGCCCTGCTCATGCACCAGTGTGACCCCAGAGAGATGCCAGGGAGACTCTGGGGGTTGTGGCACAGTGTGGGGGCTCTGCTGTGGGGGGTCAGGGCTTCCTCCCCTCTCTCTCTTTGCTTGTGGCTCAGCCAGTGCCTGGCTGGGATCCCAACTAGTCCCTGCAGACCTCGAGGCCAGGACACCCCCAGAGATGGGCTGTGCCAGGGGCTGCAGCTCTGGTGGGAACGACCAGGAAAGTGGATTCCTCCGACCTGAATCACGCCGGGCAGCTGCCAGTAAGGAGGCACCAGCTGAGTCACCGCTGTTGACACCGGGCTGGGCACAGGGACCTGCCCCCGTGAGTCAGGCTGTGGGACACAAGCATGGGCAGGGGTCCTCATACAGCCCCAGGATGGGACCTGGCCACCAGCCCCTTCCCACACGCTGCTGGAACATCCAAGTCAGCACCTCTGCAGCACTGGAGCGAGGCCAGAGTGATGCTGGCAAAGTGCGGGGCTGTAGTTGTGCACTCCTTCCAGGCTGGGACAGGGAGCTCCCCAGGAGCGGCAATGCCTGGACCCCACAGCACAGCCAGCCTCAGGACGTAGGGCTGACAGGAGCTCTCCATGCTGCTGTGGGGAGCAGATTTGTGGTAGAGTTCCCCCGGCCCCCCAAGGCCAGTGGGACCCCAGCTTGGCCAGTCTTGGGGGTCTCCGCAGGGGCCACGCTGGCACGGAGGCACAACACTGCCGTCACTCGGGGACCGGGAGCACCGCGGCCGCGTCAGCCCTGTTATCAGCCCCCAGACGGCTGCTGCTGGGCCGTGGCTGTGTCCCAGCCCCGGGCAGGGCAGGGGGGGGCCGCCCTTCGTCATCGAGGACGGCCACTCAACCCTGGGCCTCTCTTTTCTCCCTTTTATTTTTTTTCCTACCCAGTGGAAAACAATATTTGAGCGCCTACATCATGCTGGCGTCTCTGGAGCGGCCGGCGGCAAGCGCGGCTGACCTCAGCCCCCTCCTTTGCGCGGTCCCCGGGGGCGCGGGAGGAAGCGAACGCCGCAGCCGTGCCCAGGGGCCGTCTGGTTCCCACGCAGCGTGGCCGGGCCCATCGCCCGCCCCGGCTGGGAACACACAGCCCTGGCCTCACGCGGTGCCCAGGACGGGGTGCCTGTGCTGGGAGCAGTGTGGTGCATCCCATTGCCCACCCCGGACTGGGGGATGGGGACCCCCGTTCCTCACAGCCTGCATCGCCCGGGCGTGCAGATCAGAGCCATGTGCTGTCTCGGTGCTCCCCTTCCCCACGCCCACCCTGACTCCTGTTCATGGACCCACTGCTCCCCCAGCTCTGCCCCCTCCCTGGCTCGCAGTGGGTGGCCTGGCCCTCTGCCCACTCGCCCGCTCCCATCCTGGGCTGTGCCGTGGCCAGGACTGCGCTGCACCCAGTCACGGGGAGAACCTGCTGCTGCTGCTGCTGGTGCTGCCAGGTGCCATTGCTGAGGACTGCCCGCTCTCCCTCCCTCCCTGTGCTGCCTGCAGGGCCCCTTGTTTCTGCTGGCAGTGTGGGTGCCCCAGGGGTGGGGTAGAGGCCCACACGGGGAATGTGTGCTGCTCCAGGCTCCGGGGATGGACGCTGTGGGCACACACGTGCACACCCAGACTGTGCCATGCATTCATGGGAGTGACAAGGACCCCACACAGAAGGGATGGAACTGGCTGCCATGGCCTGTGCTGGACCAGGAGCAGCCCTGTCTCTGTGTCCCTCAGCCCTGGCAGGGCCAATCCACTCCCCAGAGCTTTGGGTCCTTACAAACTGTCCTGCATCTCAGCTGGGAGCAGGGGATGGGATCACATCTACTTCCATGGGTGTCAGAACTGTGGCCCCACTCATCCCACCTCAATGGGTGTCCCTGTGTGGTTCCATGGTGGGAAAGAAGGGGCTGGAGCTGCCAAACTGGGCTGTGGGGTAGAATCACCCACTCTGGGATGTGCTGGTGCCTGCGCATCCCTGTGCTGCAGATGTGCACACGCAGGGCTCTGTGCAGGAACTGATCCCCCAGAGCAGCTTGGGGTGCCAGGAGTGTCCAGGGCCGACAGTCCATCTGGGAACCCCACGGCCACCCTGCAGCAGGGCCCTGCAGCCCCTGTGGCCGGCCGGGGCCAGGGCCAGGACCGGGCGACGCGCAGCTCCTGGGGCCAGACAGGAAGGAGACGTCACCGCCGGAGCGTAACTCAAACCAGATGGGGCTGTGCTGGCGTCCAGGCCTGCGGGGTGGTCACCGACAGGAACCGGTCAAAGGCTGCCGGCAGGAAGCTGCTGGGAGGGACGCCCGTGGTGGGAGCCGGAGTCCGGGCTCTGGCAGCCTTAACCACTTCGGGGTCAGCCACAGACCCCCTGGACAGAGGGGCACCAGCACCCACCAGCCCTTGCCTGGGCATCCCACCCCATGTGGGCAGATGCTGAAGCTGTGAGGACACCTCTGACTGACGACTGACTATCCATCCATCTATCCACCCATCCATGCATTTCCCCTTCCCCCAGCACAGCTCAGGGCTGGGGAGTGCAGAGACCAGAACCCCTTGGCTCTGTGCCTGCACAGCCCTGCCTGAGATGTACCAGGTGGTCCCCATCCCCACCATACCCTCTCCACCCCCCCTACCCCATGGATGCTGCTTCCCATCCTCATCTCACTTATCCTGTGGCTGCAGGGCCCCTGTGGGTGGGAGTGGGGTCTCCTCAGCCCCCAGAACGGCAGGTGTGGGCTGTGGGCAGACCTGTACATTTATTTACAAGAAGGCAAGCGCCGAGCAGGGCTCCATCATGGGGCAGGGTCCCACCAGCTGTGGCCCCTGCCCAGTGGGGACAAGCCTGAAGCCCCTTCCCCTGCTGCAGCCAGTGGGGCTGGGGGGCCATTGTCTCCCTGTGTCTTTCCCCAGGGTTTTTCCAGCAGACACAGAGGACACAGGTGGCCCCAGAGCAAACACACAGCCCTTGCTTGGGTGGGCTCAGCCGTGGTGAAAGCCAAAACTGAGGCACCTCGTGCCAGTCCCCCATCCATTCCCGCCATGGGCCAAGGCTGGACGCTGCAAATCCCAAGGGATGCCCATCCTCTGGGAGCACCGGGGGAGCCCTGAGGGGTGCAGGCAGAGGGGACGGGGGTCAGGGTGAGGCGGGGGAGCAGGGGCGGCACCCCTCTCCCCCACCCCAGCAGGTCCCGGGGAGCCCCCGCCCGCGGCGGGGGGAGCTGGCGGCCGCAGCCGGAGCGGCGGAGCGGTTCCGGTGTGTTGGTGGTCGGGTGAGCGGCGCTGGCCGGAGCGGGGAGCGCGGGCCAGCTGCTCTGCATTAGCCCGCCTCGCTCATCCCGATCTGGCGGGGACGGGTGAAGCAGAGGTTGTGTTTTCCCCCGCTGGCAGAGTCGAAGGGCAGGGAGGGCAGGAGGAACACAAAGCCTCCTTCTTCTCTCGCTAGCTCCCAGCTGGGGACGCCTCTGGAAGTGTGCTTGCTGCTTCCTCCCTTCCTGTGCGAGCAGCAGCTCAGGGCCAGCTCCGCTCCCACATGCCCAGCCGGCCAGGGAGGAGGTGCTTCAGCCTTGGCTCCGGTGCCAAGGCACCAGGGTGAGGGTCCACGGTTCCCTCCAGCGTCATTGCCGAGCCACAGAGCTGGGAAGGGAGGTCGGGCAGCACGGGGGCCAGCGGCAGTGAAGGCAGGGCAGGGCTGCAGCATTTACAGGCAGAGAGGGCACGTTTTGCGTCCAAGAGCAGCAAGCACCAGGTGGCCGAGGCAAAGGGATCACACCGGAATGACCTTCCTCCTCCAAGGGCACGGGAAGGAAGCGTGAGCAGAGCAGAGACGCTTCGGGTCGGGCATCACACAGCCAGGCCAGGGGTGAGATCAGAAACCTCCTCTCCAGAGCAGCCTCACAGTCCAAGGACATATCAGTGGGGCCATTGGCTCGATGGGAACGGCGTAGGCTGGAGCCCCAGGAGCCCCAGAGGTCCTGAGCCTGAGCCCTCAGCAGAGGGTCCTGAGCTCAGAAATGCTGCCCGGAGTGGTACAAGCTCGGCAGAGCTGCTGCAGGTGAGGATCCCAGCGGGGTCCTGGCCCCCAAGCAGTCCCACAGCTGCTGGATGCCAGACAGGGGCAGCTCCAGGGATGCAGCAGAGCAGCCTTGTGGTGGCAGTGGCACAGAGCAGAGGTGTGATGTGGGCATCAGAGCAGCATCCGGCACAGCACGGGCAAGGAGGGCACAGTGCAGCTCCAGCTCCTCCCCTCAGTGGGCAGCTGGGACCCCAGAGAGGTCCTGCTGCTGTCCAAAAGCAAGACTGATGTGGGACTCTCTCAAACGCTTCCTCTCTGGCCTCGACCCCCCTGGGAGCCCCAGCTCAGACACCCAGCGCTGTCAGGGACCCTGAGCTGGTGATCTTCCTGAAGCGGTTGGCAGCACACACCCCGATGAAGTTTTTCTGTAAAAGGGAAGAGGAAAGGTGCTCATCCTATTGCGAGGGCTGTGGCCCTGGAGGCTGAGCCAGAACCTGTTCTGGGGCCTGACACCACTCCTGCCCCTAAAAGCAGGTCTTGGGATCCACTCAGGAGAGAGCACCACAAAGGGATCTATACTTGGTGGGGGTCTCACCTCGTGGGCACCCACACAAAGACTCTGGAGCTGGGAAGCCCTCCCTCCAGGCTGCCAGACAAGATCCCTCTGCACAGCAAGACAGAGCCACCCTCCACGTGCCAGATGCCATCCACCAGGACAGACAGAGGCTGGCAGCCCCTCTACCATCCCCCTCAGAAGGTGTTGACCCTCATCCCCATTTCTGCCCCCCGCACCTTCCAGCGCCGTCGCATGACGTATTTCTTGAGCAGCACCTGGGACTTGAGGCGCCGGTTGCAGCGTTTGGCCTTTTCTGCCAGATTTTTGAGCCAGGGATGCTGCAGGCACTGGTCAGCACTCATCCGGGCACTGAGGGTGAGAGGAGCCATGTCATCCCTGCTTGAGCCCCCCCCCTTCAACCACCCCCTTTCTCCAGCTTCCCCGGAGCCCCAAAAATCCAGAGGGAGGAAAAACCTGCAGGGAGGAACCAGCCAAAAGGTTGTGCCCAGGGACCAGTGGGGCTGGGCAGGACCCTGGGGGATCCAGCATGTCCTACTTGGGGCGGGTGTCCCCTGGAGGGATGTGGGACTCTGTTGGGGACAGTCGGCAGTGGGGCAGGGCCCTGTGGGGTTCCTTGGGTGCAGGACCCAGGCGTTGCTGCAGAAGCAGTGCATGGTACCCAGGGCAGCTCTGGGGATGCCCACCCTAGGACCCCGGTGGCCACTGCCAACTTCACACCTTTTATCCTTGATGATGAGGTTTGAGACGAAATCCTTGGCCTCATCGGAGACGCTCTCAAAAGTCTCCTCGTCGAAGTACCAGTTGGCAGCCAGGACATTGTTGAGAGTTTCGGTGTCGTCATCACCCAAGAAGGGGGAAAGGCCACTGAGCCTGGGAGTGCAGGAGGGTGAGAAGCTGGGTGCTTTCAGACTTCAGCACCTTCCAGACCCCCCAGAATGGAGCCAGTCTGGCCAGGGCTGCCCCAGGGAGGTCATGTGGGGCTGTTGGCACCGTCTTGTGCTCCTACCTGCAGCCAGGCTGAGCCTCTTCCTACCCTCCCACAGCCCCATCTGCCATTCTCCCCATCCAGCACCCCCACCTGCCCACCAAGCAACTGAGTGCTTGGGAACAGCTCTGCACCCCAGGCAGCTCTGTCCCAGCACCCCAGCCACCCAGTCCAGCCCTGTCAGCCCTCACCCAGTCCTGACATACAGCATGTAGGTGATGACCCCCATGCTCCACATGTCTGTGGTGTAGGAGACCTGCTCGTAGTTGACCACCTCAGGGGAGAGGAATTCAGGAGTGCCAAAGTTCACCTTCAATTTCTCGTTGGGGTTGTACCTGCAGCCGGGGGGGGAAAGTCAGCAGGAGGGGGACAGGCTGCTCCCACAAACCACTGTTCCTCTCCAGCAGATGCTGCCCTCCCCAACCCTCCCATGCCAGCCAGGGAGAGCTGTGGTCAAAGCAATGGCCTAGAGTGTGTCCTGGGGCTCCCGGTGCCCCAAGGGCACAGAGAGAGGTATGGGACAGGAGAAGGGAGGGAGCTGAGGGGGAAAATCTCACCTTCGAGCCAGCCCAAAGTCGATGATCTTCACCATGTGTCCGGTGGCAGAGACACAGAGGATGTTCTCAGGCTGTGGGAACAGGGTGACCATTGTCCCCCCCACCAAGAGGGGACATCCCCACTGCACAGGTCCTGTGACTGACCCATACCAGAGCGATGCTGACCCACAGACATCCCTCCCACAGCTGGCTGGTGTTCTGCTGTCCCCCCTGGCCCCTGCCACTGTCACCACCCAGCCCTGCACCTTGAGGTCGAGGTGGAGGACATGCATGTGGTGCATGAAGCGGATGCCCTCGCAGATCTGCCGGACGAACACCATGCAGTCCACCTCTGTCAGGTGGTAGTCGTCGTCGATGATCCGCTCAAAGAGCTCACCACCCTCCACGCTGCGTGGGGAAGGATCATGAGATCACCTTAGGGGGGCTCTCTGCCCCAAACTGTCCTCCTGCAGAGCCCCCTGTTCCCCCCAGGGACCCTGACCCAGCCCCACCATGGAGATACTGAGCATCCACGGTGGGATGTGTGCGTGCTGGGGTTGGACACCCCCAAGGCAGGCACAGGGGGGTTACCCCAGGACACCTCAGCTGCCCTGCGGTCTGTAGAGTAGAACAGCCCCAGCACAGCCTCAGCCTCCTTGGGGCAAGTGGGCAGAGGAAAGGGAGCTGTGCCAGAAGGACCTGGCTCATCTCCACCCTCAACGCAACTGTGATGGAGGGAGATGCTGTCCCGGCCAGGCAGAGCCTGAGCCTGTCTCTCAGCCTGGAGCAGGGAGGTGCCCAAGAAGGGATGAGCAAGGAGAGGATATTCCTTGGGGCCAACCTTCTGCTTGGTCAGGGGCTGGCACATCTGCTCTAACTCTGATGCATCCCCCATAATGGTGCCCCTCAGCCAGGCATCAGGCCTCATGGGACACTGCCCCAGCACTCACAATTCCATGAAGAGGATGATCTCCCGGGGTGTCTCGATGGCGTCGTAGAGCTGGATGAGGTTGTGGTGGTTCAGCTGGTTCATCACGTCGATCTCCAGCAGCACCATCTCCTGTGGAAGGAGCCCCGTGGTGGTGTGGGGTGTCAGCCCTGGCAGTGCCCCCAGGACAGGCTGTCACAGCACCAGGGGCACACAGGACACGACGCCGCCAGCCCCCACCTCGGCCATGCCACCATGGCCATGAGGAACCCCCTGCCCAGCGTCTTTAAGACCTTGTCCTTGGGTCCCTGCTTCCGGATCACTTTGGCTGCCAACTTGAGCCCCGTCTCCTTCTCCGTGCATGTGTGGACTTCACCAAACTTGCCCCTGGGGAGGGAGAGAAGGAGAGGTGCCTACACCACCAGCCACCCAGGGTTCTGGGGACCTCAGCACTGCCCTGGGGTGCTGCCCAATGTTGCCCTCTGCACCCATTCTGCCCCAGGTACCCACCCCATCACAACCAGAGGAGTCCTATCAACCCAGAGCTAATGCCCAAGGCTGGAGGACAACCTGGGGCAGTGCCAGGGGAAGCTGGGCATCCTTCCCCCTTCTGGGGCCCCTCCTTACCCGCCCAGGATGTCCTTGGAGTTGAGGCTGAACTGGGAGCTGATGCTGCCAGAGTGCAGGGTGACAGTGCGATGCTCGAAGGGTGCTGGTGGCGGAGGGACATCGTCTGCCCAGAGAGGAGGAATGGGATGAGAAGGGAGTTCTGCTGGCCTAGAGACTCCACTGCTGAGCACCCCAGGGTGCCCTGGTGTGGGGTGAAGGCAGACACCCAGCCAAGCCCGTGGGTGCAGAATGCAGCTGGGTAGAGCGCTGGGCTGCAAACCAGGGGCTCCTAGCTGGGGCTGCACTGGGGACAGAGCATCCCCCAAAGGGTCCCTTGCTACTGCCCACAGCATGGGCCTGCTGCATGGCACCCACCCTGCTCCATGGCACTCACCCCACCACATGGCACTCATCCTGCTCCGTGGCACCCACCCTGCTCCATGGCATCCACTCCCACCATCCCACGTGTCACGTTTGCCCTCTCCAGGCCACTCTGCTGCCTGCCACCCACTCTAGGCCGCTCATCCTCCACACCACCACCTCCTGCTCGCCCTCCCAAGACAGACCCCACACACAGGGCACCCCATGCACTCATTCCTGAGCCACCCTTTCCCAGGCGAGTCCAGGAGCTGGCCTCACAGGGATCCCACCAAGCACTCACTGCCCCCAAGCCCTGCCATCTCCACAAGGACAGTGGTGCAGGATGCAGGGACACACTGTGCCCTGACACTGGCCAGAAGGTCACTGTCACTCCCCAGGCTCCTCTTCTTCACAGTCAGTGTGGCTGGACAGCCCGGGAGGGGACACGACACATTTAGCCCTGTTTACAGTGAAAGGGGAGCTCGAAGGCCACCAGGCAGGTGACAAGCCAAGGACAGGAGCTGGCAGCATGGAGGGCTGTGCAGACAGCAGGTAGGGCCATGGGGTCCCCGGTCTGTCATCCCACAGAGGGTCCAAGGGGGCAAGGACAAGGCAGGCAACCTCATGTCCTTACCCAGTATTTCAAAAGGGTCTTCCTTCCCAAAATCAGGGGTGAGGTAGGGGCTGGGGGGCGGCTTTGCCTCTGTCAAGGGTGGTTGCCCTTCAGATCCAGGTTGCTCCACAACCCCAGCGGGATCCGGGGGCTGCCCTGTGGCACTGGGCAATGTCCTCTCCTGGGGGGTGCCATGGGGCTGCAGGTCCCCCATGGCTGGCGGGGCAGGGCCAGGCTCTGTCGGACCCTCTTTTGGCTCCACCGCCGTGGTTTCCTCTGGAATCGTCTCCATCTCCGCCACCTCTGCCCAGGGCTGCTCCTCCCTGGAAGCAGGAGAGGGAGGTGAGCAGAGCCCAGCCAGCAGCCCCCGAGCCCAGCACCCACCTCTGCCTGGAGGGACCCAGGGCTCCCTGGAGCAGCGAGGGGTATCCCCCCATCCCAGGAGGGTGCGGGTACCTGTGGCAAGTGGCCGGGCAGCTCAGGCTCTGCAGCAGAGCCGGGCGTGGGGGCTCAGGGACCTTTGGTGGCTGTTTCTCCGTCCCCTTTGGTTCTTCATGCCCTTCACCCTGAGCCTTCACAGTAACCATGGCTGCTGACTCTGTGGGCTCCTCAGCCCCATCTCCAGCCTCTGCTGCAGCTGCAGGAGCCTCCACCTCAGCAGCTTTCTTCCCTCCATCCCGAGCCTTTGCAGCCACTGGGACCTTCTCCTTTGCAGGATCTTTCCCTTCATCCTCAGCCTTTAATGCAACTGTGTTTTTTTCTACCTTTGCAGTTTTCTTCCCTCCGTCCTGCACCTTCGCTGCTGCTGTGGCTTTCTCCTTTGCAGGCTCTTTTTTACCTCCACCTTGAGCCATTTTTGCAGCTGAATTTTTTTCTGTCTTTGCTGCTGCCTTCTCTCCATCCTGAGCCATGGCAGCATCTGGGGCTTTCTCCTTTGCAGGAATTATGGCTTTCTCCTTCACTGGAGCTGGGGCTTTCTCGTTCACTGGAGCTGGAGCTTTCTCCTTCTCAGGAGCTGGAGCCTTGTCCTTTGTGGGAGCTAGAGCTTTGTCCTTCACAGGCTCTTCTTTGCCTCCATCTGGAGTCTTTTTTACTGCTGGGGCTTTTTCTGCTTTTATCACTTTATTCTCCCCACACTGAGCCTTTGCAGAAGCCGGAGACTTCTCTTTCACAGATGCTGTAATTTTCTCCTTTGGAGCCTTGTTATCAGCTGGGGCTTGCTCTGCCTTTGCAGCTTGCTTCCCTCCATCCAAAGATTTAGCAGTGGCTGGGACCTTCTCCTTTGCAACCGCTGTGGTTTCCTCATTTGCAAGCTCTCCTTTGCCTCCATCCTGAGTCTGAGCTGCAGCCAAGGCTGTCTCCTCTGTGGATTTTGCCTTCCCTCCTTCAGAGTTTGCTGCAGCTGGAACCTTCTTCTCTCTGGGCTCTGCTTTCCCACCAGCCTCAGGCCCTGAGCCTCCAGGGGCTTGCTCTTTCCTGAGCTTGTCCTTTTCTCCATCCTGAGCCTCAGTTACAGCCAGGCCCTTTGCCTCCATGGGTGCTGCCTGCCCTCCTTCAGGCTCTCCCAGAGCTGGAGCCTTCTCCTCCCTGGGCTCATCCTTCTCTCCATCCTTCTCCTTGGCAGCAGCTGGAGCCTTTTCTCCTTTGAGCTCCCCTGCAGCTGGAGCTTTCTTCTTCCCAGGCTCATCCTTCTCATCCTTCCCCCTGTCCTGAGCCTTGGCAGCAGCTGGAGCGTTCCCCTCTATGGGTGCTGCCTTCCCTCCTTTAGGTTCTTCTACACTTGGAGTTTTTGTCTTCCCAGGCTCATCCTTCTCCTCCTTCCCTACTCCCTGGGCCTCGGTAGCAGCCAGGACCTTCTCCCCCACGGATGCTGCCTGTTCTCCATTGTGCTGCACAGTCGAAGCCTCCTCTCGTGGCACTGCTTCCCGTCCATCCCGGGGCTCTGGAGCAGACAGGGCTGTCCCCTGCTCAGGTTCTGGTTTCCCTCCTCCAGCCTCTCCTGCTGCCTTCTCCTGTCCAGGGTCATCCATCCCTCCGTCCTGTGCTGCAGTGGCAGCCGGCACCGTCCCCCCTTGGGGCTGGGCAGCCTGGGGGGTGGCGGGGGCTGCGCTGCCCTCTGCTTCAGGGGGGGCCGTGCCACCAGCCCCCCCCCGGGTGTCGGCACCATCCACCCCACCGCCCTGCTCCATGGGGGCTCTCCGGGCAGGAGGCAGCTGCCCTGCAGTGCTCCCGGTTCGGAAAGGCTCCTGCGGGAGAGAAAGCAGCAGCTGAGGGCTCCCCAGACCCGACTCCCTGCAGAGGGGCACGGCTCTGCTCCTGCAGGGATGAGCTGCTGCCACCCAGCCGGGAACTGTGTCCCCACTGCCCAGCCGGCGGCTCCCGGGCTGGTGGCACCGAGCCAGGAGTCCCACGTGGCCACCAGTCCCGGCACCGTCCCATTGTGCCCCGATATCTGCCCCACGGTGACTGATCGATGGCCTGACACCGGCACCTGTCACCGGGTGCCTGGGGCCCCTGATGTGCGAACAGCCAGCGCGGCGCGGCCAGGGTGACAATTTAAGGCCACATCCCACCATGGCGGGGCAGGAGACGGTGGCTCCAGCCCCAGGCTGGTGGGTGAGGAGCAGGAGAAGTGAGCATTCCCAGCACGGCCCCAACACTGCTGGCCCCCAAACCACACAGCCACGCAGGCAAACCCCATCTGCTCAGGGTCTATGTGGGCCCCTAGACCCAGCAGCCACCAGCACTGCTCATCCCCCTGCCCTGGGGTAACCAGGTCCCCCAAGGGGACCTGTTGGTGCCCATGTATCTGCATGGGGTTCCAGCCCAACACCTGATCCCCAAATCTCCACTCTGCCCTGGGCTTTGCTGCCTTTCCCTGCCCGGTCACCTCCCCTCACCCTGTCCTAAAACACCCACCCTGTGCAGCCACCCAGATGCCAGGACAGCCCAGCCCCAGAATAAACCCACCAGCAACCATCCCAGTAACAGGGAAGTTGCTTGCCAGTCTTACTAGAGCAGTCCCTGGGACAGCATTCCTACGTCCCACAGCTGAGCATGGGGAGCCCATTGGGTTGGAGGTGTTCCTCCCAGGGCTGGGGGTTTCACTATCTCCAGGACTCCCCACCACCATACCCCAAGTGAGCAGCCACAGAGACCCCCCCAGCCCCTTTACCTGGGCCGTGGTGCAGCGGGCGGTCAGAGGGGCAGCATCTGCACTGTGGCAGCGCCGGAGGGAGCAGCCTCTTCTATCCCTGGTGTAACGGAGCTGGATTAGTGCGGGCAGAGGAGGATCCTTTACAGCAGCAGGAGCCGTCCCGCTTCGCCTTTCCCAGCACCTGTTGCTGCTGGAGCCCGTTCAAAGGACACGCCACTCTCGCCTGTCCCTCGTGGGCTGGGGACACGCAGACACAGGGCAGGGGATGGGGATGGACCTCCCTCCTGCCCCAGCACAGCACCACAGGGAGGGCTGGCACAGTGGCAGCCCAAAACCATCCCATGAGTGTGGCCTGGGCAATCTGGACAGGGTCCAGGTGGCCAAGGTCTTCCAAGGTGCTCACAGGTGGCACAAGTCCTGGTCCTCTGTGCTCGCCTTGCCTGCAACACCTCTCAGGAGGATGTGACCCTGGCCAGGCAGGGGAAGGGACAGTGCTGCTGCTCCACATTGCCAAATCCCAGCTCCCAGTGAGCCAGCAGCATCTGTGAACCATGGGCTGGGATCAGGCTTTGCCAGAGGAGCTGTGGTTCACATGTGGCACTGAGAGTGACACAAGTCAGGATGGAGTCATGACTGTCTCCATGTCCCAAAGGTGCTGCTGTCCCATCTGTCCCTGCCCTGGCCTCAGGCACCCACCATTGCACCTTGATACAAGAGCAACACTTGCTCAGTGGGACACAGACAGAGGCTCCTGAGCAGACGTGGTGCTCTCCTGGTCCAGCCTTCACAGCTTGGATTTGTTGCTTCACTGAGCCCAGCTCCTTTCCCAAAATCCAAGACAGGACCTGGAATGTGACAAGGACCAGCAGGGATGATGCAGGAGCAGGTGCACAGCTCCAACTCACAGTGCTGATGCAGTCGTGTACATGCAGAGGTTGGGGCATCACCACACCCACAGCTCTCGGGGGCTGTGACACCCACACTGCCCATTCCCGTGGTGAACATGAGTCCCCCCACCTCAGCCTCCACAGGGCACACTGTCAGGAATAAATGTGCCTGGACAGCAGGGACTCTGCCCACCGACTGTCATCGCCAAAGTACAGTTTGGAATTGCCCTCCTCCGGCCGAGGGCTGCCAGACACCTGGTGGCCACCAGTGTCACTTCAGGCACGTACTGCCACCACCCCGCCAGCCTTCGGCTCTGCATCCTCCCGGCAAACCCCGGGTGGAAGGAGCATATCCCCACAGGCACAGGGCAGGAGTCCAAGTGCCACAGCCGTGCCCCACAGCTCCCTCGAGCTGTTGGTGCAGCGAACGCCGGGATAAAAAACCTCTCCAAGGAGAGGAACACCCACCTGGACACCAGCCAGCCTTCCCAGGATGCTTGCAATCTTACAAGCTCCCTGGGAGCAAGGTTGGTGTCTGGTGAGGAAAGCTAGGGACAAGTTGAGGAAGCAAAGCCCTGGGAGCAGGCACTGGTGGCCATGGAAATGGTTCTCCAAAGGTTATTGGTGACCAGGTTTGGCGTTATTACAGACAAAATTCGTTTGTGGGCAGAGGGAAATAAGCTGAAATCAGACTCCTCAGCAGAAGGAAGTGTAGAATTGAAGAGTAGGAGGTGTTACACCCCAGGATTTTGGATGCCTTGGTCCAAAATCCCACACCCCAGGGAGCGGCACAATGATCTGTCTCTCTGCAAACCAGTCACCACCCAGGGTTCTCAGCCTGGGCTTGGCTTTTTTTTTTTTTTTTCCTTCCCATTCAGGAATTTAAGCCAGAGCCTACATTGGCTGCAGCTGGAAAACAGCCTGTCCTGGGGATATCTGGCAGTGCCTCAAGCACGCTGTTCCTTAGCGACGCCGTTGTCACAACTGCAGCAGCACACTTTAACCTTTATGCTTTCCACAGGAAGGGAGGCTCTGAGGGGCCAAAGCCGGCCTGTTCCCTGGGAAACCCTACACCCCAGCTAAATCGAGCAGCAGGGCAGGCTGAACAACATCCCCACCTGAATCCCAGCCATGCCACTGTAACACAAACCAGTCAGGCTGTCCGGCCTGGCGGGCACAGCTTAACTGCTTCCATCAGCGCCCAGGGCTTCCACAACGCGCTGCCAGCATGCCATGACAGGTGACATCAAGGTGACGGGGAAAGACAAGGAAAAAAATCCCAGCAGAAGGGCACCCAGAGCTAGGCAGCACCTTGAGGACAGGAATGCAGCTGCTGGTGGGCAGCACCAGGGAACACCAGTGCGGGCTTGAAGCACCAGGACATACCCACATGCAGAGGGTCCTCGCCACACTGGCAGCCAACAAGCTTTCCTAGTGGAGAGGGAAGGGAGAAGCAAAGCTGTGATTTGAGAGCATCATCAAGCCTTTTCATAAAAACTTTATTCACTAGATAATCAGATCTTGTAATTCAACATAAAAGTCCAGGAAAACATTGCCTTTTAGTTACAGCTCTAGTCTGAGTTCAGCAAATTACTTTGATAAGAAATTATTTTGGGTACAGCTCAACTAGAAATTCATCAGAGGAAGATTTTGTATCCAGCTCTCCTCCCCTCCCCTCCTCCCACTCCTTGCTCTCAAGGAAGGCACATAAAGGTTATGGGTTTTGAGTTCTGGAATACAAGAATGTTTTTGCAAAATCCATGCAGAGAGAATATAGATTTTACATCAGTTTCTCAACCTACCCCAACTCTAAAGGTAGGTGCTGGAACAGTACTCAGTTAAATCTTGCTCCAGTCCTGTAACTTTATTCTCCCTGACACTGGGAAAATCACCTGCCCCCTTTTCCCTGATGAAGCCTTGACCAAACCCCATCCTCTCCAACATCCAGCTCCTCCAGGACACCCATCTCTTACACACTTTCTACACTAGAGCACTTCTTTCACCATGTCAACACCTCCCTCCTAATTAAGGGGGCAGGTCCCACCCATCGGCCTGTGGGAACGTGGTGGGTGACTCCAGCTCAGCCCAACACCCCAGATCCTTGCAGGCACAGCTGCCTCAGGTTCCTTCCACTCTTTGTAGTGCCTGGGGAATACAAGAGGCCGTGTCTGGGGGAAGATGTAATGTCTTTTATTAGACCCAAATGATACCATTGGGGGAAAAAACTGCTAAGCTGTCAGGCACACAATGCCTGCCTCAGGGTAGGAGCAAAGGCCATATAGGGCCATCAGGGAAATCGAGCTGGTCCATCCTTAAGGGATCATTGGCTGCTCCAGCTCCATAGCCTCATTATCCTGTTTGCCTTTACATTCTTCAGCAGCTCATCATCATTCCAGCTTTCTCCTGACTCATCATAAATATTTTCTGCTCCTGCTGCCCACACACTGCTGGCTCCAGAGCTGGCACTCGAGGAAGCAGCAAGGATTCCCTGACTGCACATCTGAAGTTCAGCCACATCCCTGTCCAGTAGATTGCAGGGAACAGCTCCACTGCAACAGAAATGGGGTTAAGGCAGACTGGCCAGATCCACACCGATCCTAGTTTTCAAGAAGAGGATTGCTGACACATCCCTCTTGCTCCAGTCAATCCTGTAAATTGTCACAGCAGCTGTGACAGGAGCTGTTCTGGCCGTCTTGTTACCCTGAGCTCAGCAACATGGGGCTACCAGCAAAGTCAGAAACGTGTGGCTGAAGGCATCCTGGGTGACTGGGTCAACCCTTTCAGGTGCAGCTCTGCCACACCTATGCAAAAAATCCTCAAGGGAAGGAAAAGTGTAGCTTGAGCAAAAAGGAGCCACAGCTGAGCTCACCATTTCCAAGAGGCCACACTGCTCCAGAGTCATTCATCCTTCAGTACCAACACATTTCCTCAGCCTTCTGGTTCTCCAGAGTTCCTTAGTTACTAACTGCAAAAAACCTTTAATTTTTTCAAGAACCCTTATATTTCAGCGGGGGGGCTTTTTCTCTTTTAATCCAAGCAGAGAAGTTTGAGGCTGGTGCTCTTTGAAACACTCCCATAGAGACTCCAGCTGTTCTGCCATGGCATCCCTTGAGCATCACACTTTTTAGAATTCCTGTAGAAACAT